CTTTGTGTTTCATTCTCTAACTGGGGTGATTCTAGGTAACGTGGTGAAAATAAAGATGATTTATTGCCATTTTAACTATGAAACGAGGCAAGTTTGGAGGCCGCTGCGGTATGTATATGGCCACTTACACGGTCACACCCGTCCAAAGTTCAAACCATTGAGATGGCATGACTGATATCATGCAATGGATTTACAGCAAAAAACGACTCAGGTCCGCTACCCCCATGAAACAAGCCCACCCGTACAGAAAATTCCATCACAAACATGTGGAGTTGTGCCGTCTTCGGAGCACGTCCCCGACAGTGTTGGTCTCACATGCAGATTAGGTAGATAAGCTTGCCTTGGCGACTTTACGGTTCGGTCCCCAAATGCCCGGCAACGCTATCTAATTACCGATACTTACAATACAGCAAGGGTCTAAACCTCATGCGAGTCCCGGTCCGATGTCGTTTCAGCCCATGGATCCGGACGCTCGCTCGCAAGCTTCGGAGCCATCATCTTGATGCCTTAAGAGCAAACCAGTCCCCCCTCGAGTGTTTTTGCACGTCAGTCCACAATCCAGCGTGGCAGGTTACAAGCAAAACTAGCAAGGTCCGAGTGCTGCTGTTGAGGCCGAGATAGCCATCGCGACAATGTCCTCCCCCGGCCCGGCGCTCAGCCAAGGCTTCGGCTACGGCATCATCCTGGGCGTCGGCTTCGCCTTTGCCATCTTCATGGTGGCGCTCACACACATACTCAAGCGGTTCAACAACGAGGTGCAGACGTCGGAGATGTTCAACACGGCGGGCCGGACCATGAAGTCGGGCCTGGTGGCGGCGGCGGTGGTGTCGTCGTGGACGTGGGCGGCGACGCTCCTCCAGTCGTCGGGGGTGTGCTACCGGTACGGCGTGTCCGGGCCGTTCTGGTACGCGTCCGGGGCGACGGTGCAGATCCTGCTCTTCGCGACGCTGGCCATCACGCTCAAGAAGCGGGCGCCCAACGCGCACACGTTCCTCGAGGCCATCAAGGCGCGGTACGGGCCCCCGGCGCACTTTACCTTCATCACGTTTGGGCTCATCACCAACGTGCTCGTGTCGCTGATGCTGATTGCCGGCGGCGCGGCCACCATCAACGCGCTGACGGGCGTGCACGCCGTGGCGGCCATCTTCATCATGCCCGTGCCGGTGGTGGCGTACACGTTTGTCGGCGGGCTCAAGGCCACCTTCATCACCGACTACATCCACGGCTTCGCGCTCTTCATCATCATCATCACCTTTGCGCTGACGGCCTACGCCACGTCGGACGTGCTGGGCAGCCCGGCCGCCGTGTACGACCTGCTCGTCGAGGCGGCGGCGCGGCACCCCGTCGCCGGCAACCAGGACGGCAGCTACCTGACGATGCGGTCGCAGGGCGGCGCCGTCTTCTTCGTCATCAACATCGTCGGCAACTTCGGCACCGTCTTCCTCGACAACGGCTACTACAACAAGGCCATAGCCGCGCACCCCGTCCACGCGCTGCCGGGCTACATCATGGGCGGCCTGGCCTGGTTCGCCATCCCCTGGCTGACGGCCACGACGCTCGGCCTGTCCGCCCTCGCGCTCGAGTCGAGCCCGCGCTTCCCGACCTTTCCCAACCGCATGACCGAGGCCGAGGTCTCGGCCGGCCTGGCGCTGCCCTACGCCGCCGTCGCGCTGCTGGGCAAGGGCGGCGCCGCCGCGACCCTCGTCCTGGTCTTCCTGGCCGTCACCTCGTCCTTCAACTCGGAGCTCGTCGCCACCTCGTCCATCTTCACCTACGACATCTACCGCACCTACTTCCGCCCGGACGCCAAGGGCAAGCACCTCATCTACATGTCGCACGTCTGCATGGTCGTCTACGCCGCCGTCATCTGCTGCATCTCCGTCGGCCTGTGGTACAACGGCATCTCCATGGGATACCTGTACCTGCTCATGGGCGTGCTCATCTCGGCCGCCGTCCTGCCCGCGACCCTGACGCTGCTCTGGCGCGGGCAGAACCGCTGGGCGGCCACGGCCTCGCCCATCCTCGGCACCGCCTGCGCCATCGTCGCCTGGCTGGTCACGGCTAAGAAGACGTGCGGCGCGCTCGACGTCGTCTGCACCGGCTCCAACGACCCCATGCTGGCGGGCAACGTCACGGCCCTGCTGTCGCCCGTCGTCTTCATCCCCGTCTTGTGTCTGGTGTTTGGCCTGGACAAGTACGACTGGCAGTCCATGATGGATATCCGCCGCGCAGACGACCACGACATGCTCGAGAACGAGGGCCTGGACCCCGAGGCACAAAGGGTGGCCGAGATGGCTGAGCAGGCAAACTTTGACCAGGAGCAGCGCAAGCTGGACCGCGCATTCAAGATTGCGTGCATCATAACCATTTCCATGTACGTCTATTACTACGAACTGAATCCTTTTTTTCTTTCGGTGCAAGATTTTGCTAACTTGTTTGTCTCTTTTCCTTTCACACAGGGCGCTTTCATTCCTGATCCTCTGGCCAATGCCCATGTACGGCTCGGGATACATCTTCTCCAAAAAGTTCTTTACAGGCTGGGTGACGGTGGGCATAATCTGGATCTTTTGCTCATTCATTGCCGTCGGGCTGTATCCCGCGTGGGAAAGCAGGGACACGCTCGTCAAGGTGGTGAGGTTGATCGTCACGGGCAAACGGCCACAGCCGGTTCTAGTGGCCGAGCAGGAAACATCTGCAGACTCGAGCGGGACGGCGACTCCCACCAAGTCTGGGTCCGTTTCCAAGACGGGATGAGGTGGGATTGTTTGGGGGGTTCGTGATGCTATTTATACCCATGTAGAGCTTGCGGATAAACTATGATGCCAATGATTGGCTTGATTCGCGTATTTAAAACTTGCAATTTTGCCCGACTTTATATCGCCTTGTGATGCTGCGCCCGTGGTTCCCAGACAAATCCCCATGACGCGGTTTCTCGTTGCTATTTTGACAATGTCCCTGTTCTCGAGTATTGTTGCTCCGAAGACGACTCACTCCCTATCGGACGACTGCTGGAAACCGCCGACGTCTTCCGCATCCATGACGTTGTGGAGATGCTCCAACAGGTCGTGCGTGGTTTCCAACGTGCTTGGACAGTCAAGAAATATTAGCCTTGGTCTAGGGCGTTGTGCACCTTGTTTGTGGCGTGACGATATACCGCGACCTACCTGATGAGGTTGGAAAGATCAACGAGACATCCATAGATTGTCGTCTGAAGGCCATCGAGACGGTAAATGGACCTCCGCAAGGCAGTGAGCTGCATCCTGAGCATGGCTAGCTCATGTTCGCGTGCTTGCGCATCGGTGTTGCTGTCGTGATGAAAATTAGCTCACGGGATAACTCGCGGGAAGGCGGTTGTTTTTGAGGGGGGAGGGAGGAAGAGAGAGAGGACGAGGTGGTGTTTGGCGTACGTGGCTGAAACGAGATCTTGATGCATTATGTTTGTTAAATGGAACCGAATTTATATTTTATCTGATACAGGCAGTGATGATGAACGAGTATGGGTTTTGAAGCTGTTGAGAGAACGGATGTGTGCGACTTGGCGGTGGAAGGGAGAAGAAGCAAGGGCAATTTTCACGTTTTAAGGCTCTTAGTAGTGCAGCGCAGTTGTCATGAATACTCAAGGCAATAATAGCTAATAGTAGCCATTTTTTGCGTTTATGAAGCCATGTCAGCGGAATGTGAGTTGTGTCAATCTGCAATAGAACAAACGGGGTTTAGGACCTGACGTTTTCAGGGTGTCGCGGCCGAGAATGCGACAAGAAACACTCCCATTGTTCTCTAGGAGAATTTCCAAAGCGAGCATGATTGGAAATACTTCTGTTAGCAAACAGCATGGATCACAACAGTAGACTACCATTTTTCGAATAGCCTCTTGTTGCGGAACAGTGCAGGATAAAACAGGAATCTTGACGGACAAGGTTCCTGGGCGACCTGCGTGCCAGAGTTAGGGGTTAGCTGTGGCAGCAGTTTTCGAGTCTGGGGCTGGGGAACCCCGATTGTGATTAGCGGTATGTATATAGTCATGATGCTGCCGAAGTTCTTGTAAAGTGTTTGGTCCGACTCAGGTCCTCTACGCACCACCCAGGCGCCTGAAGGTAAACCGGCGCCAGCTGAGGCTATATGAGGAAACTAAGTCCCGATAGTAATATCTGGATAGTATATTTCTCTAATATAGTCTAGTTCTAGCTCTATGGTGATGGAAGTAAGAAAGGTAAAATAATTCCAAGTTTTTACTCAAGGGGTATCAATTGTCTCACCTGCTCCCCCAACTCCACAGAGTCATTTTAGAGGCATGAGGTGAGTTTTGTGACATGTCCTCTATGTTGTTTGCCTGAAAAAGATCATTTTGAATTGGCCCTGCCCTAATTCCCACCAATAAGTGATGCCACTACCGTGAACTCTACATCTCCCCCCATTTTCTGTCGACATACTGGCCACACGGGCAATTTGCCAGCGGATACATGGCGCAGAGCACTTGATATCAGGTTTCCTCGAAAGCTTCCCGTCCTGATTTGCTGCCTTGCGACTATCAGCGAGCGAGCGTGGTGATAATGGCGATACAGGTCGGGCTTGCTACGTGTACGCTTAGCGGGAGTGCTGTGCTCGACGAAATGAGTTCTGTGATGGGGGTTGCGGCCATGGGGATGACATTCCCAGGGATCACTGTTGTTTGCGCTGTTTGGTTTGTTCTGATGTGTTATCGTGTGCTGTCAATGGTATGGCTTATATGAGCGAGCGAAAGCCTACAGCGGGTGTGATACATCAGGAATTCGTCCTGAGATTCTGCAACATCACATCGTGAGCTCCTCAACTTGAGCCGGCCGTCCTGGCATTATTCTGCAGCCATGGGCGGCAGTATGCACGACACTAGCTATCCAAATCAGTAATTACTTCATACATTGTGACCCGGCTCTCTCTAAGCTCTGGCCTGCTACTTACTGGTGTGACAAACCACTTTGGAAAGACGCTCGGGCAATAATGCAATAATCTCATGCAGATTTCTACATGTGCTCCATGATCCACTCATCCTCAGCCAGCTCCTTGGCCGAGGCGCGCTTCGCGGGTTCCCACTGCAGCATTTTCCGCATCATAGCGAGGAACTTCTCTCGGCTTTCTCCCTCCAGGCTCGTCTCTCTCATTTCGAGCGACGTGCTATTTGGATGTGGAGCCTCTGCACGACACTCGCCTGTGGGACGAGCGGTAGCTGGTGTCAGCAGCAAGCAAAGGATCATCTCATTATCTACCGTTCGCTTACCTTGTTCCGTAAAGAACTTGTGGCTTGATTTGCCTGCATCAAGAAGCGCCTTTGGAGGTGTTCCGATCAACGCAACCATCTCAGCGAGGTGTGCTCGACTGCGGTATTTCTGATCCTCCGGATCAAGTCCAGTGAACAGGTGACCTCCTTCGAACAAATCCCAGATCTAAAACGACAGTACAGACCTGAGTCAGCTCAAATTCTGTACGTGCTCATGTCCTTTTAGATTCGTACCATACAGGCCGTATTCCAAATATCAATCTCATAGGACCACGGTGCTTCCAAAACAACCTCGGGTGCTCTGTAGATGTCGGGCTGTACGTCCTCGAGATGTACTACATCGCCGGTAACGGCTGATCCAAAGTCACAAAGAACCGGAGCGCCCCAGATCTTGGGCATCTGAAGCTCGCGTGACAGATAGATGGCCCTGCCGTCCACGATTTTCCGCGGAGACGGGTCGGCCAGCTCTTGCTCCTCGAATGCCGTGAAGACCGAATCGTCCCCAATGCCAAACATGATATTATCGGCCTTGATGTCTGCTCCAAAACAATTCAGTACTCTTCCCAAGGGGCAAATTATATAAACTACGCCCAAGGAGGGTTATGCTCGGCCCAGTTCTCCCAACACGTACCTGTGTGTATTATTTGACATTCTGTGTGCAGAAAATCCAGAGCAAGAAAGACACGGCGGAGGATAAAGGCCAGGACTGGCGCCGGTAGTCTTTCCACCGGGTTACGGCGCAAGAAAGCCAAAGTGCTCTCCCAGAGCGGCGGGTGCACCAAGCACCGGTGGCTGCCGTCTGGTCCACAGACATCGAAAGAATCCAGCAGCTCCCTGACGGCACTGCGACCAGAATGTTTGGATGATGATGCAGAGATGCGCTTGTATATGGAGAGTTCGCGATCCAACTGCTCACCCATGGACTGAGAATGTATAAAGAGCTTGAGGGCTACATGCCGACGTCGACTGTCATGTTAATTAGTAGGAGGAACAGGTCAAGTGAGCCGAGGAGTTACGAGAGCATCTCACGGTAGGTCGCGAGCCAGCCAGACGGTTGAGCTGGCTCCAAAGCCCAGCTTGCCAACAATCTGATAGCGATTTTTGAGGATCTCGCCGACGCGGACTGGATAGTAACGGGATGCGAGGTAGTCGGGAAAGAGCTCCTCCTCAATCTTCTCATGCAGTGGAATTGGCGTAAAGTTCAGGTTAGAGAAAGGAAGTGGCTTCCAAGCCCGGCCAAGCCAAGGCAATGGCCGAAGAATGGATGCCATAAGAAGCGGTCATAGGGTAGGCTGACGAGTGATTGGTGCTGGGACGAAGCCGCACGTGTCGCAAAATTGAAGCTCAAAGCCCGCAAGCAATTGACATTTGAAGACCCTTGGCGCCGCTTAGGTCAGAGGTGAGGCTCGCTGAGCGGCGGGTCATTGGCGCCCGAGCTGGTGCAGCTTCGCGCTTCAATGTTCCCTTCCCATTCATTATACCATGCCCTGGAACGGTGGATACAAGTCAAAAGACCTTTGATTGAATCTGCAAAAAGAGGCTGGGAGGCTCCAAAATGTTTGTCACGCCAATGTGTAACCAAACCGTGCGGTACTGTGTACGTCCCATGCTGACGACGGTGTTTGGTCATATCTCATCATTCTCACTCAGTTGTTGCTATAGAAAAAGACGCAGATACGGAGTACAACTCCTGTGATCCTGTCGGCGTTATACTCAATGCAAAGAAGAAGAAAAAACCACCCGCAATAAAAATAAACGCGTTACTTCTTGGGCTCACTTAATCCACCAACACAACACACGTTGAAATTACACAAAAAGTTTATAAAAAAACAACTTGCTCCCTACTGGAATCGAACCAGTGATCTTATCATTACTAGTGATACGCTTTACCACTAAGCCAAGGGAGCATTTGCTGTTGTTCATAAAGCGGGGTGTTATTACAGCTCATCAAGGTGGCGCTTCATGTGGATTATTCGGGCCTTGGCTTCTTGAGCCACCCCTTTTCTAACCCCCTGCCAAGTCTTCAAGTTGACGTTAGCAATAGTAGGCTGCTTTTGCCAACCCCTTCTCAATCTTCAATTGTCCAACACTGAATGCCGTATACAGTAAGTCGGGGAACTGCACGCAAGATTGAACTGCTCCATTGCAACGTCACGCGTACCAGACCAGTCACTATTCACATCTTCACAGGTCGCTACAGTCGTGTTGATGCACTGGTGTACCCCCCATGTGCGAGCTGACACTGCCGTCTCGTGAACCACCATTCCAGGTTGCCACAACAGGTAACCTCAGTCCAAGTCTGATTTGGCGGGAAGCAAGTTCCTCGCCAAAGGCGCCACGCACACCAGGACACTGCCGACATACGGGCATTGATCAGCCGTTCGTGACATGGCGAATCCGATGGTCGCTTCGCGAGGCACTTGTTGCTCCAGTCCTAACCAGTCTGACCTGCCCCACACTTGCTCGCGAGCCGTTGTGGTACTGGAAAAGCAAGCCCGTAACAACGCCGCAAAACTGCAAGTCTTGATCAAGTCGAGGTTCTCAAGAGGCGCAAACGTATACAAATAGCTCTCGACTGACGTTATCGCCGGGTAGCACGATTCAGGCGCCGGTTTGCGCAAGTTACGTGTCTCATTGGCTTCTTCTGGTCCTAGAGTCAGAGCCAGTTCGCGTATTCCCGCCGAGTCGTCGATGAAGAGGTAATCCCGTTGCCTTTGAAGTTTTATAATCGGGAATACGTGTACGCTTGACCTGGCGTTGGATGATGTCCTAATACGTGTACGCGGCCGGCTGTCACCACGATTAAATCAACTATATTTCGGCGATACAGGTAGCAATCACGACGCCACAGCTCGGCCAGGAGCTCGCCGCGACTGATTGGAATGTGCAGCCATGCGGTGGCGTCGTCCCCCATGTTGGCGTAGCAAGACACGTCGTCCACGGCCATGTGCCTGGCGATGCGAAGCGCTCGGCGGGCTGGGTTCCATGCCACCGAGTAGCCCGTCGTGCCTGGGTCGTTCATCGTAAGACGGTTGTATCTAGCTGGCCCCAAGGATGGGCATGGAGGATATCGCATCAGCCCTGGTCGATAAAACGGGGCCGACCACAATGGGAGTTGGAAATTCCCATGCTGGTCGGTCCGCAAGTTGCGAATTTTGAGTCCCTATGGCGATTAGTGCATTGGCAACTTGATAAAGAGGAGCAAAGGTTACCGAGCGGAAGGCTTTGCCACCAGTCCCAAGGGCAGCTTTCGATTTCCAGAGTTTCCTTTGAGCAAGCGAATACTACCCTCCTCACGCCCAGAGGACCACGTGTAATGTACATGACGTCAACTGTCGATATCATCTCGGTATCGTATACAAGTTCCTCTGCCGGTTCGTTGCTCAGAGCGGACACGTACGTTTCACCATGCAGCGTCACGTAGCTCGCCCATATACACGACGAGGTTCTCACCTAGCCACTCGAAGCTTCAGTCATGTTCTCTTCAGCTTGCGAAGTCCACCGGGCTAAATCGAGCGTTGAGGCACCAGTGCGTGCCAATTGGCGCTTGAGGTGAGTCGTCCGAGCAATCGACTCTTCAAACCCAGGGTCCCAAGCCGTACCCTGCAGGTTCCTAATGATGGCAGGCCCAGTTCTGCGCAGGCCAAGTGGCATGCCAGCGCCAGGCCATCTCGGTGACGACAGTCTAGTATTATGCATGAATTGTACTTGCCCTCTCGAGGACAAGGGTCTTTCTTGGATGGGACTAAGTGTATTATTCTTATTTCAGTCGCGATGGATTTGCCAGATGATAAGGGGTTTGCCTACCGAAAACGATGGCATGGCCATCTTTCATTTCCAGAGTCCACAGCACGCAGTGGGGGTCGACGCAGCCATCGTCCATTTCTGAATTGCTCGAGTTGCGGACGAGGGTTAGTCTAACAATTCGTAGGATCTGGAAGGTGTCGAGGCAATAGATCATAGTACGGTCGGAGTGTGCCCCACTTTCATACCCCCTTTTGCCTGTGAAACCTTTGCAGACATCTTTTGTCTTTTTCACAAACTCATCACAACATACGTGGGCGAACAAAGCAAAAAGTCAAAAGAAAAGAAAGCAAAACCTATATTCACCAACTAGTAAAAAAAACCAAGAAATCCTCCAAGATCATATACGGCCACATATGCAATGAAAAACAAAGAGTATTATTCATTAGGGAAGTTGCGTTACACAGTTTCCACAGGAGAATGCTGGTTGTTCTCGTAGACGGTCCTGTCATTGATCCCCACGCTCCTCTACAGCAGGCCACATATCGAGGCTGCGATCACAGCACTGCTTGAGAATCATCTCCATCTTGTAGGCATGACATGTCCCTTCTGTCAAAGCCAAATGGTGCGCCTATAATCTAGATATAGGGGGCATACAGCTAAGGGCCACCATTTTTGGATCCTTTTTCTTCATGACTCAATGGTCAAAACTAATAAACCAGCTGCCAGTAAGCAGCAGGCGGCTTGAGGGTTGCTGGCCATGTTGGTTGTGGACTGTTTAGGAAATTAGTGGGGGTGGTTCTGGATTCGTCGAGTCCTCAACTAACTAATACTGCCAGCCACTCCTAGGCCAGAGCCAGCCACCCCTAACCATCATGCGTAGCTATCGTGTCTCACATAAGTGCTTACCAGCCTCCATGATAAGTAGTATAAAGTCTGGCCCTTGATTGCGAATATGTCTTCTTCACTGACAATCAACCACACAATATCCGATTTCTTAACAACAAAATATTCTCCCAAACAACACAGCCATGGACTTTAACAATCGTTTCGGTGATGGAATCAAGCGCTGCGAGGTCGCTGTCGGTTATATATTTGTTAAAAAAGAACTCTGTGCCGAGGCGCTGAACGCGTCTGCAGACGGCACGGCGTGCTACAATGACGGCCATACCATGAAGCAGATTCGGAAAAATGACCGCCTCGCGGTGTACGGCGACACTGTTGCGGATAGTGTCCTATGCCACCGCTGGTACAGCCAAGGTTACGAGAAAGGTACAGTTTGCAATTCACCGATACCACCCCCGCGGCAGTATTTCTAACAAGTCTACAAAAGGAGTCTGGGACTCTATGCGCAAAGAGTCTCTTTGCAATAGGAATCTCGCTGAACGTGGGTTTTCGCATCAACTCGACGTCTGCATCATCAAAAACGGAGGCACAGTCTGTGTCTCCGAAAAGATGATGGCGACCGCCGTGGAGGCCATTCTCGGCGCGGTCCATCTAGACGGTGGCGTTGATGCCCTGACCACAGTCATGGAGAACCTTGGCATTATTGATCCCCTGCGTGAATCGGTAACGTGCAATCCCCCCAGTCCCTGCGGTTTTCTAGTGTACAGATCTGCTGCGATCTACTTACGTCGAGGTGTACAGGTCCATGTTGCGAGACCACCCCAGGTTAGTCGGCGCCGAGCCATGAAGTAACCCTTGCGTAAAGTGAGGTGTGCACCTGAGCTTATTTCGTCTGAGAGACTCAAGCGTCGCTGGTTTTGCGAACGCATTTTCAGAACAGCATGTCTTTTTGGCGAATGGGCGCAGGTGGATTCTGGTCATAGCCGCAAGGAGTACTTCCTGAGTCGACGGCGAGGAACTTTGGGTGGTTTGGTGGTGTCGGGACTACCGTGTCCTCGAAGTCTGCCTGCGTTTCGAGACTCTACGAGAGATAGCTTCTAACAGATGCTTTTTTGTCAACCCAGGGAGTCGAAAACTAGACGGCTAGACGCCTTTAAGGCGGTGAAGGCAAAGACCACGGCGGCTCCGAGGCAAACACTGTGCTATTAGGCCATAGTCATTCTTGTTGAAGTTAGGAAGCAGTCTGGTAGCTGTATGGTAGGTTTTAGTCCAATTAGGCAACTAGACAACTGGTAGCCTAGTACTGGTTTTTCCCTACGAGCGGTGTCGTAGCAGAAGTTGGAGTTATATAGAGTAATAGCCTATTAGGATAAATCAATAAATACATCAAATTGATATTATACGTCAACGCTCCTCAACTACATCTGGTATGCATCTTGTTCAACTACTTACTTCCACGCCATGGGCAGAACCCACCAAGAATTACCGCGAAAAGACAGCACCAGGGTACGACATGACGCTCACGCTCAAAACACCTCGTCCGGCTCCCAGGCCAATTCCCTCGTCTCACTCTCCGCCACCTTCCCGTCCACAAACGCCTCCATAGCGGCCCTGGCCTGCTCATCAAGCAGCTCCAGTCTCTTCATCCAAGCATCTCCAGGGTCGGAATCGCCTTTATCCGGACCAAAAAACCGCGGGTCCAACTTCTCCCAAAAGACGCCGTCAAAGGCAAAATTCCTCCGAGCCGCGTAGACTGTCCAGAAGTCACCGCTCGCCCAGCTCTCGCGCATCTCGCCAGAAAGCCGCTGCTCCTGCAGCAGCTGCCCAGCGGCAATGGAGGCGTCTTCGCAGTCCACCATGGCCTTTAAGAACGTGGCGAGCCGGCGCTCGTATTGCTGTACCCAGTCATCTAGGCCGTTTTCCCAGTACTCTGGCTGTTCGATGAGCAGCCACCAGGGAGGAGCAAAGGTGAATTCGCTGGGGGCCGCGTACGAAAACTCCCAGTCAATCACGGCGACAATTTGCAAGTTGGCGTCGAGGAGGATGTTGGATGGCCGGAGGTCGTCGCACCAGAACCTGAATGGCCCTTTGTCGTGGCGGTCTGACACAAGTTTCCTTTCACGAGCAAGCTTTTGGAAGAGCTGTCTCGCAGTATATTTGCGCTGACAGTCGGCCCTGGACTCGATTGCATCGTTTCTTTGGCTGGTTAGATGGTCAACGTGGAGTTTTGCCAGGGCTTGGAAGTACTCCGACGAGGTATTGAATCTGGACGTGGGTAGTTTTGCTCGTGGGAAGGTTCCCGTCCTGACCAACTCGTTCATGGGCATTGACAGCGGGCGCCGCGTTACCTCCCATGACCATTCGTGCGTCTCTTCTAGCGCTCCGATTAAAGGAAGCTCCAACTTGGACAGCTGGAGGAGGATACTTGCAACCTGGCGATAGAGCATTTCGAGCTTCGCTTCGTCAATGTTGGGGTCCAGAACGGGCGGTATATCAAGCGTGAGTCCCGGCGTGTTGAGGGCCGCCGTCATATTCATTTCGTGGTTGATGTAGTCCATGATGATGAACGGCCCTATGCCGAGGGGGCTCTCTTCTCTCGTCCCCCAGTGGAGGATAAAAGGAACGGGAATGGCGGTGTGGTCCTGGATGTAGCGTATCGTGGCGACTTCATTCCGAATCTTCTCCTCGGGGAACATTGTCCTGCCTGGCTTCGCGAACCGTATCACGGCCGAGCCGCCGTCTAGGTAGGTCAAGCGAAATAGGGCGTTGAACGCGCCGGCTTTGAGGGGGCCGATTTCTTGAGGGACGCCCTGGCGGTGCTTGGCGACAAAGTTGCCAATGGCTAGCATGGTCGGAGTCGTCAAGACACTCTCGCGCCATTCTCTCTCGATGCGGTCGCTTTCCTCCCACGCGACGTCGTCGCCCTGCATCCACATGGTGCTGTTCGACGTAGAGCCAGAACGTGGAGGGAATGGATAGGGGACCAAGTGACTCCTCTCCTCCCATGCTGCTGCCTGGGGCTATGCAGTACATATGTATGCACGTCACATACCCTTGCCCAAGCCGACTGGGCAACATTGAAGATAAGTACCGTTGCCACTTGGTTGGTTGGTCGGTTGGTCGACCGTCACTTGCAACTCAACCTGCGCATTGTAGTAGTTAAATGTCAGTACTAATTTCGATTCATGTTTGTTACCTGTTTGTATATCTCGCTTCAGTACAGCAATAACATGGGGAATACGACGATTGATAATCTAGCACCGCTGTGTAGCGTATCTGTGATATCGCGACAAGGCTCGTAGAGGGCTTGGAGTCAATAGCTTAATTCATATATTAAACAGTCTTTGGTATCAATGGTCCTTGGTTTTCACAAGGCCCGGATGGACCAAAGAGTTCTATAAATACAAAATGTCGGTGAGTGCATTATGCCCCAGTCCCGCGATCGTAGTCCTCATGTAGCCGTGTGACAATATTTCCAACAGCAACACAAGGAAGACTATTCGACCAAGTCGCTCACGTCATCACTCGGTTCCTTGTACGATCCTCCCTCGGGTCGAGCTCCTCGTGTCGTTTCTTCGATAATGTTGGACTTGTCAATGCCGTCAACCATGTCTTCCTCTGCCAATTGTCAGCTACTTTTAAAATTATTTTGGTTGATGGTAGATACTAGGCGGATCAACATACGCAGTTCCGGGTTGTTGTGGACCGTCTCATCAATGTCCTCTTCGGCGACATCCGTCGGCAGGGGCTTGACATCCTTGACATTGGAAGTGACGGGCTCGTCGTTGAGAAAATTACCGTCGTCTGCGTTGGGAGCCATGTTGTAGGTGAATGGGTACAATGATTTTTGTCCAAGAAGTCAGGCGTTGTGAGGTTTTATTATCGACTTGATTCGTGCAAGCGCTCTTAGAGTTATTTAATCTGTATAACTGCTGGATGTTGAGGAGCTTATATACACGTTCTGCAATTGCCTTGAGCCATATTACCGTTGTGCATCGGTAGCAAATTTATCCTTTGTAGCCGTCAATACCGATTAAACGAGTCGATCGCGATCAGATTCTATAATGACCTGCATCACCCCGGGGAAACAGATCGATCGACATACAACCTTCCAGCTTTGGACTTGCACAGGGCGCCAGCTTTTACGTCGTTGAGGGAAAGCTTATGCTTAGTAATTAGATTTTGCTTTTCTTCCGCCCGTTGATCGTGTCTGGTACTATTCCCCGGTGACGGGGTGCATGTCTTAACAGCGGGTCATGTCGAGCTAGAAAGACTAAATCCGGAGATCGGGATGGGAGTGGTGACGAATTGAGAACGGGGCGGCGATCGAGATGTCTGGTCTGACTGCCGCTACGTCCGCTCTCTACATGCACCGAGCTTAGAAGTCCGGTTGTAAAATATTTCTCTGTAGCCTGTCAATTTTCCTGACGTGGACTGTAGTGCCCTCCATGTAGGAATAAGCGCCCACACGTCCATAGCAAAATCGCAGGTCAGACTAACACAGCTGTTGCGTTGCCACGGAAACGGGATGCCTGTTTCCACGTGATACATGTAGGACGAATAACCTCGTTCGCTCAAGCTAGCTATCATCTCCTCCATACAAAGGGTAGCCCTGAGAACACTGCGGTATGGCCGAGTTCTCGGTAGGAAATATCCGTTCATGGCTTCTGGATCTGCCAGAGTCATTTGAACACTCGCCAGGGCTGCCAAACCACGCTCCTGCTCCCGCTGCATTGTCGACTGAAGCAAAGAAACGCAAAGCAGACCTGCGACTGACGCCTCCCACAATACCGCGTAATAGAAGTAATTAATAATAATATAATAACCCTAAGCTAGGGCAGGAGATACTATATAATATATTATTATATAAGTAGATAGTAAGTTTATAAATAGATGACTATTTTCTCACTTCTTCTAGTGTCAACATTCCGAAGCCTGCGGAGAAACTAGTAAGCTTCTAGACACTAGTTGATTAGCGAGGTATGCTAATGAGTTGGGGCTCAAAATCTCGAATACCGACACGTCACTTTTCAATTCACGGAACAGTTGGTTCCGGATCTCAACTGCCTTGAAAGAGTCCACTACACAGTATTAGCATTATTTTAATAGCAGTCAACTGATTAGTAAAGTACAACTTACCTCCGAGTTCATACAATGGACGATCAACGTCAACATCACCTGGTTGAATACCAAGGCCCGGGGCAAGAATCTTCTTTAGTGTATCTTGTATGATGACCAAAGCATCCTGCCGTGACGTTGCTGCTCCAAGGAGCGCGGCCACACTCGGGCCTGATGCCATCATTGATGAGTTGGCGAATATTCTGTAAGAGTCTAGAAACCAATCGGGGTTGTTCTAAGATGAGACGAACTGGATCTATGGTCGAGAAGCTGACATTGCCTTGTAAGAGACCTGGAGGCGTTTGAAAAGCTTGTCCAGGTCCGAGTACGACGGCAAGACGGCCAAAGTCTGAAAGACAAGTGGCTAGATCATCGTCGATTGTAGCGCCTAGGCCAGAAGACACCATGATATCTATGCCAACACCCTGAGTCTTCAGCACCAGATAAGAAGCGAGAGAAGCATTCTTTTCGTGTTGGTTGACAATGATGATGGACTCTTTAGGCAGACGAAAAGTCTGCAAAAGCTGAGATTTTTGTTCTGCATTTTTGACTGTTGCGAATATTTTGGCCTTTTCAGTCTGGCTAGCAAGACGAAGAAGAGCTTGACCCAACTCTGTGGCACCGTTTTGAATCAGAATGCTATTGCCGCTAGCGAGATACGTGATGTGCTTCAATACATGATACGCCAGCATTAAGGTCCATATACTAGCAGCAGAGCCTTGGAGAGGAACATGTTCGTCAAGCTTGAGCAACAGTGATTGATGTCGGCGAACATGAGTTCTGCAGACTCTTGAGCCAAAAACGGCAACGCGATCGCCTTTAAGAAGCCCTGTGACCTCTGAACCATATTGAACAACTCGACCGGTTAGTTGGCTGCCTAGATTTTCACCGTCATTGGAACCGAATGGGTCAATTGAGATGTCGGCCACGGAAACTTCCACCTCTTCCGGACCGAGAGGTTTATCTGCCTCATCATCATTCTCCCAAGCAAGCTCCCGTACATCCATGTGACCAGTAACAAGACGCAAAGGCCCGCAGGTCGAAATGTCTTTCGAGGCTGGCCGAGCTAGCCCTTTCGATGATGCAATCTCAGCATCCATTGACGCATGTTCGACCACCCGAGGTAAAAATATATTACCGTTGACTTCGGCCAGTTCCAAGTCTTTTTCAGTGGCGGTGTCATCAACTGAAGTCTTCCAGCTGTCCACTATCAATTCGACCCCTCGAGCACTCGAAACATCAAAGGTCGGGGAGAGATCTATGTGTGCTAGAGTAATCTGAGGGAACTCATTTCGCAACACGCGTAGCAAACCCAGCAAGGGAGCACCCTTCAGACCGGCCTCGGAGCTTGTAAGCATTTGAGTACCAGTAGTAATCCAGAAGACATGTTTGGCAGAGGCGATGAGAGTCTGAAAGTGCTCGAATTCTGTCTTGTTCCAGGTTGTAGTGAATGAATCATCTAGGAGAGAAATAACAAGTCGATCTTTGAGGGAGGCAACATCGTCAAGATACACTTTACGTGTAGTCCTGTTCTCTTGCTTTAAAACACCCTCCAGCGTTCTCGCTAGTAACGGTACGTCGCTGGAGGAGGGTAGGAGGAGACAAACTTCAGTTGCCGGGGTTGCCTTGACACTTTGGTTCACCAGGACGCTAAAATCTGGACCATGGCTCGATTTCACTTGTAATTCTGCAATATTTGCGTCTGGAAGGGTGTTGTGACCGTTTGTGCCGTTCGTCTTGCCCCTCTGTCCATGGGCAATGATGATGCGGCCGCTCAAAGTCATTGCATGCTGCCAATGAGCAAGTTCTGGACCGGAGGTTTCGTCTCGCGCACCTGGGTGTCCAGCAATGATAAGATCAAACTTGGACTCGCCCATGTCTGAAATGCCGTTCCATACTGTAAAGATGACAGTGTTCTTGGCCTTTTCTGTCTGTGTCTTCCATTGTTGCAGAGCATCGTCGGATGAACAAGCTATCGTCAGTTGAGCAAACCCCCGGTATGGTGTTTCACCGGTAATGAATGGGCTCATCTCTGCAATTATATCGCTGTGAAGTGTACTTGCCATAACGAGAACACGCAGACCTGCGGACTTGTGGCATTCCAACTCCAACCAATGTCGCAATCTCGAAATTTCTACAGAACCGGATGATGAGACTGGTGTCCCCCTTCGTAAGAGAGCCTCAGGGTCTGCTTTCCAGACAATCTTTGTTGTCTTTTTCTCGTTGCCGTCAGTTAATGCTTGGCTTGTACCGGATGCCCCAGACGAAACTTGAGTCATAATGAGTCCTTTAACAATAATCTTTGGTTCGCTCCAAGAAGCGTCTGAGACAATCAAGTCGGCCGAGAGTTGCTTATCGCGGCGCTTGACCCTTTGAGAGAAGCCGGAGAATAGTTTGCCTGGTCCTTGGGGCAATGGTTCTCTACGGCAATACCCAAGAGATCAGTGCGAGTCTTTTGCCGCAGTCGCTGTTCCTTGGTTGCTGGTGTCTCGTGCCAGTACACTCTTTCATGATTCCAAGCATAACATGGCAGATCAACCACAACTTGAGGAGATTCCACCAAGTCTTGTTCCCGATTGACCTTTGCAAGCAAAATTGGAATGCCAGTGGCCCACAGGCTTCCCACTGCCTTGAGAGCAGTCGTGACAGCATCTTCTTTTCGAACCAGCAAACAAGTATAAAGAAGCTCTGAAGGCAGCTTTGCGTCGATGCTTTCCATTATCTGGACCAACGGGGCCTTTAAAGCAGCGTGAGGCCCAACTTCAAGGAGTGCATCCCACTTTACGGTTGCTTTGCGTCCAGCACGGCGCCCTGACGACCCGACGAGAAGACTGGAGACGGCTTCCGAAAATCGTACTGTGCCGCACATGTTTCTGATCCAATACGACTTGCCAACCTCGATGGGATCAATGAATTGCCCCGTGACTGAGGAGAACATGGGAATCTTTGCTTCCTGGTTCGCGCCTCTAACACCAGCCTCAACCATGGCGCGCAGACAATCATCTGCAACCATTCGCATATGAGGAGAGTGGTATGCCGTCACAACGCGAAGCTTTCGTGCGAAATTACCATCTTTGGCGATGCTCTGCTAAAGAATATCAACAAATTCGGCGTCTCCCGAGAGCGTAACGCTCTTCGGGCTATTGACACAAGCCGTAACAACAGTTTCAGAGGGCATGGTAGCCAAGTATGCTTCGGCTTCTTCCTCCGATATGCCAGCCGCCAACATGGCGCCGACTTTGGACAGATTAGTACTCTACGCCTCAAATATAGTTTATAATAGATTCGGGACTCACCATTTTCAAACGCTTCATATGAAACTTCTAGTACAAGTCTTTTGGCGGGATCCATGCCTGCAGCCTCTTTCGCAGTGACTGAGAAGAACGGCGCATCAAACGCCGCTACATCTTGTTCTAGAAAGAAGCCGTGTGTGGTATTCAACTGATATCAACCAGATTTTGTTAGCAAAGCTGCTGTCAAATGTAAACAAAAGCACATGTGCTGATTTGACTTGCAGAGCCTTTACGGTCCGGATCGGGATGGTACCAGGCATCCGCATGCCATCGTTCTTCGGGCACCTTGGCGTGGGCAGTTCGGGAGTTTTGCATCATATCCCAAAGGCCATGCAACGATGATGCCTCACCAGCGAGACGACAAGCTGCACCAACAATCGCGATGGGTTCAAGAAACTCATCGTTACGGACAGCACCGTGGCCGTTGCACTCAATTCTTGGATGAACCATGGCGGTAGTTGAGTCGTCCTGCAATAATCTGTGAGGTATGTTACAACAATGGCGGCGTTGAAAGACGTGAAATTCCAAGATTTACATTTGTAGGTATTTCTTTCTACGCGTGAATACTTATGGTCAAATCCATCAAGACGGCCATGAGAGGTTCGACAGTTACACTAAACTGGCCAAATCCAAATCCAACGCTTCCGAATCGGGATTCACGAAGCTATTCTATTGATTGTTGATGCTGGTGTAGGCCGGCACGTTCTTGCCACTGTGCATCTTTCAACATGGTTTCGCCCATGTCTCGAAAAACTGGATTTGGATGATTGTACGTAACGGGTAGCCAAGGATGTGCTGCGCGACTTGCCTTGTCATTTGTCGTGTCGGAGCACTACCTATCTTGGAATTTGCGGGTACATATACACATGCAACCAGATCCTTCCAGTCATCAGAATAGGTGACATCCGAATTAGGACTTATTCAGCGTCACATTTTCGTAAATTACCCTTCTGGTAATTCTCTTGGGAGCGAAGATTCCAAATTAGGCTGACCCATTTCTTGATAGGCAACCCTGGGAAAGCCCGTTTGTGAGTCGTCTAATAGCAACAACAGACAGGTTGGGTAGCGCTATTAGGAAAACCGTGAGTATGAAAATTTTATCGTGAACCTCTCATCACTTACGGTACACAACTCCATTTACCAAAATGAAAAGAATATTGGCACTCCATGGCGTTGGTTCGTCAGCGGAAATATTGCGAGACCAGCTCACTCCTGTAGTGAGAGCCCTGAGCCAGAACTACGAGTTTGTCCATCTTGATGGCGCAGTTAGACGAGAAAGAGGGCCAGGAATGGCGCCGTACTATAACGGGCCGTTCTATTCTTACACGACGGGGTATACACCAGCGGAAATCCGTGATACTCTGGATGATCTGAGTGATTTCATCCAAGATGATGGCCCGTTCGACGGGGTTATAGGCTTCAGCCAGGGTGCTTCTGTTGCAGCTTCCTATATTCTCGACCACCAGGCGCAGCATCCAGATAAGGCGCCTCCATTTGGATTCGCCATCTTCCTCTCATCCGTGGCAGCATTTTCACCGGATGATTTGCACTGTCTTCCAATCGTCCAGCGTTTGGTTCAGCAGAACTATGAAGCGGTGCACCATTTCCCTGATAAAATATCCAAGAAACTGGCCGTATCCGACAGTGTATTCGCTGAGTACCTCGCCACCACCTTCAAGATGGCTCGAAAGATTGGAGCTACTATGCCCGACTATGACATTGCCTTCTTTAAACACCGAGATCCGCAAAAAGTGCCTCGCGTGTTGCATCCCGCTTTGACAACGCATCGCATCCAGCTCCCGACGGTACATTTCACCGGGAAGAAAGATGATTTGCCCATGATGGAACAGTCTCGCTTGGTCATGGGCTTATGCGATCCAGCCATGGCGCGTGTGCATCAACACAGCGGTGGGCATGCTGCACCTTCGAAGAAACCAGATGTGGACCGACTGGTGGAAGCTATTGAATGGGCTGTTACGGAAAGCGCCAACCAGGCCACCTTTCATGTGGCCTTGCGAAGGCTACCTACTCGAGGCTTGTTGTAGTTTTATAACCTCGTGTTGGTGTAATTAAACATGTTGGGTCTCAAGATGCGGCAAAACCAAGGGTAGTCCTACTTAAATGGCCAGATTATAGATAGAGTTATATATTTGCTTCATTATGGCACCAACACCAAACTTGTCACATGAAAACATCTCAACTCCATTGTCCCCTGTCTTGGATATGGATGTGGCCTTTCCGCATCTAGTTATCATGGATCAATCTTCTGTCATTTTACTCTTGATTCGCTAAACCACTCTACTTCGCAGGCTTTGAATATGTGCAAAACTGGGTTGATGAGAGCCAAACCATCTCAGAACGGGGTGGAGATGTCATCTCAAACCTTGGCCGCCATTGTCCAAGCCAATACTGCGCCGGGTGAAAACACAAAAGCAAGAGCAGCAAGGCCGCCAAAAGTTTTTCCAAGCTGGCATACCTGCGTATCTGCCCACGATAAAGTTGACAAGGTCTTGCCTGGGATACGACTACAGGTTGCTGAGCTCAATATGGCGGAAGCATACGGAACAAAGGCAGCCAGGATAACCCACCAATCGTTCTGTAAGAAGAGGTGGCAACCTTGGGCAATGACCGAAATGCTAGAGATATCCATACTAGTTGTCCACGGCCAGAAAATTCCAGTCAGAGTAACTGGTGCCAATGCCAAGGATGTAGCCAAAGCGTACAAGTGACCCAAAGCGGAACATGCCCCTGACAGATACAACGACCCTTTGACAAGCGGACCTATGTAGCTTCCGTCCAAAGGAATTCTGCGACATCGTTTGATCAGGACAGCTATGACTGGCTGCGCAAGTGCGAGGATGGTTGGAGTTGTTCGGTAGGATGCTATTAAGAATTGTCGTGTCTCGCTGGAGCAAGAGACGAACGCAGGGTAGATTAACCAGGCAGGTAACACGGCCGCGACTATGCTCGTATATAAAAGCGCCTCAGCATCCTCTGTAGACAGTTTCTTCATGTTTTTCTCTTTAATGCCCTCGTTTTTGAGTTGATGCAAGTGAGCAAAGCAGTATAGCGGATAAACGAAAGCAGCGCCGTAGCTCTGGTTGAAAACACCCCAAAGGAGAGACTCTCTAGAATTTGGTCAATCTTGGTATATTTGAGACATTAGCTCTCACTTACATAATGTTCCACCATAACGGGCTTCCACCCAGCCACCCATGAGCGATGGTGCAGAAAGCGGTCGTCTGCATAGTGCTAAACAAGCTGACGAGCAGCGACCGGTACACAGGGTTTCTATCTCGAAGCAACGCATCGTAAAAAATCACGGGCGACAGTAAAAATTGATCGAGAAATGGGATCTTGGTGTAAACTTTCTGGAGCAGATTGCCGTCTGGAAGCGTACCCGAAGCCTTTACAGCACCAAAAGCTGTCGCCGTGCCGTTTTTAACCAAGGAGCCCCAAAGTGCGTCATAACCGACCGCAGCCAATCCGACAAAGTATGTATGCATATACCAGCTCATTTCTGAGCAATATAGTTGGTAAATGATGTTACTTTCTCATCAAATATCGACAGTAAAGAAGTGTTGGTAGGCTTCGAACCAACAAGTGATGAAGCTTGGTGTGCCAGTCTCGACGTAACGCTGGAACAATTGTGTGGGCGAGACACCGTATTATAAGCAATTGAAAGCTCTCGCATGCACACATGTCCACTGTTTTCCTTATTGGGCAGCCCGCACTGTCTACTTAAACTATTGAGCCTACAAAGAATAATACGGCGGGTACTCAAACACATCTTTGTAGTGAAATACACAGCGGCGAAACCAGGCGCTTGCTGCCGCTGCCAGAGCGCCGAACAATATCAAAGTTGCGAGAACGCCAGACTGAAAGCCTCCAAAGTCCAAGACACTGCCCAATTGAAATATGTAGTGGCGGAGAACTTTAACATACATGACAGGTATGAGTGTCAAGCCCAAGGTGGCCAAGCCGAGCCGTTTCCAGAGTTCTAGCTTCGTTTCAAGAAGCTGTGTCCTGTGCCACGCCACCTTGAAGAATGGTAGCCCTTCATTCTCAAACTCGTCTGACAAGATTTGCTTGCGCATTGTCCTCTTTTCACAAACTGACTGTGTGTTTTCGGTTAGGTAGTTGTCCACAAAACTAATTAAAAGTACCAAGAAGACGCTGCGATACTTACATATTCCGCCAGAGAACCAGTTTCAAACTTGACGAGGGTTTTAAAGGCGTCTTCAGAGTGACCGACAAACTCGAAGTCTCCTGTGGCATCGGTACCTGCCACCTCGAGCATCGCATCTTTTCCACCAGGGTGGTCGTCCAAATACCCCGAGACATCGTAGACTTCGACATTATCGTCATGTCAGTCTAGTTTCTTCGGCTTCCCTGCTTGTGCTCGGTTGTAAAAAGCGTTTACTCACCTTTCCCGTGAATTACTACCCACAAATTGTCTACAGTGTTGTACTGCGCAACATCTTCCAATGTGTACTCTGCTAAGGTTTCTTTAGACTCCATGCCGGCGTTTGATGTTACCCAGATCGATTCAACTTTGGCTTAATCTTTCAACTGTCGAGTACTAAAAACGACAATGAGCCATTGCTCGATTCGCGTCCAAGAGCTCGGGCTAATGCCCAGTCAGGAAGCAATGTCTTATAAGTGCTGAAAAAGACCGGGGGTGTGGAAGTCGGACGACTGACCAACATGGCACTCGCCCAATTAGGCCACTGTACCAAGCCGGACATACCAAGAGCTCGCAAGGTCTTGGTTTTTGCTTTCTGAGGTCATATCCTTTCTAGGATAATATATATTACGTCAATCCTCATGGGTCAGATTGCCGGATACTACGTCCCTGACTCCATTCTTAGATCTTGGGCCTACTCCAACATCTCTATGGTAGATTGCCTTACGCAGCTCAGCTATTTTGGACCACAAGCAAATAGTTGAGTAAAATCACGAACTTACAAAGAATTGCTCAAAAATGGGAGTCAAAGAGTTCACCTTATTAGGCACAACGCAGTGTCAAAATGTCAAACTGGAGGTCGCATTATCCGACGAGATGAGTGATCTCAAATCCGATCTTGCCAATCTATTTGCTATTACCGACGCAACTGGTACGTTTTCTCACAACGAAATTCCAACGTAACGTACTAATCATAATCACAATTTTGCAGCCATCTCACTTCACGGCTCAGCCGACATTCTCGAAACCATTGAAAATGTCATCGACCACCAAGGCAAGATCGGCCTCATGGTGGATGGGTCTCCAATTCGTGCACCACATGCTCCCAAAGAACTCCCTTTCCTCGGTAACCACTTCGAGATTTACCCAGACCACATGGGAAATCATGACCGTCTTTTCACACAATATGGCAGCGTCATCAAGACGGTAAATATGGGAACAACAACTTATCTCACCAATAGCCCTTCTGTCTCGGAGGCCGCCTTGAGTGAAAGCGAATACTTCACCAAAACAACATCAGACCCATCACACCCTTTATACCACATGAGAGATAGTACGGCCCTCTTCATGTGTGACACATCGTCGCCTGCATTTCATCTCGCCCACAAGTTTATTCCGCCCAGCATGACTCCCAACGCCGTTCGCCAATACACACCAAACATGCAGCAAGCCATCGAGGAGTGCTTCTCTGTTTTTGACGAACTAGACAGGCAGGACAAGGCTTTTCATGTATATCAGTACATGTTTAAGCTCGCCGGTCAGATCATCTATCGCATTGTGCTTGGTCTGGACGTCGGCCATTTCAAGACCATTGACACGCCTGCTCATGAAATTATCTACCTACTCGGGGAGTACATGCTGCTGATGAAAAAGACGTCTCTCAGCCCACAATGGTACAAATACTTGCCATTTGGCGACCACCGCCGTCTCCAAGAGGTTAAAAAACGCGCGTGGGCTCTGGTCGATGAAGCCATTGACAATGCTGAGGTTGGCGGGGGCGGGAAAGACGCTCCCATTCAGGAGGTCGCCCTTGATTCTACTTGTATTGCAGATTACCTAAAACGTGCGGTGGACGATGAGGGCAACAAGCTTCCTCCGGAGTATCGTCTCACAAATATTGTTGTGTTGATTGGTGCCGGATTCGTTACCAGCTCTTCACTGCTCTCGTGGATCATCTACGCCCTCGCAAAGTACCCAGGCAATCAGGAACGGCTTGTACAAGAGCTCGTTGACCATGGTGGCTCGTCCACAAAAACCTGGTCCTACGATGAGATCAATTCTCTCCCCTTCTTAGATCACTTCGTCAAGGAGACTCACCGCCTGCACAACCCATCATTCCAAACGGCCCGCAACACGAAGAAGGACGTCATCGTCCCGGGAGGCTGGCAAATGCCAGCCGGCGCAATTGTCATCCCGACATTCCCATCTATCCACAAGAACAAAGACCATTGGGAGAACCCGGAGCGCTTCGATCCGGACCGCTGGGCCGACGATGCGACCAGCAAGAAGAGACACCGTCGGGCATTTACACCATTTGCCGCTGGACCCCGAGGCTGTGTGGGCCTCAATGTTGCAAAATTGGAGGCAAAATTGGCACTTGCAAATCTGGTGTATCGCTATCATTTTACCGACGCTAATAAGGAACCGATGCAGTATGATCCCGAGTTCCTTGTCATTCGGCCGTTGAACTGCTATGCAAGAGCCCGCAAGAGGACTAGTTGGCCGGCAAAGTTGCCGACAGGGGCTTGATATGATTCGCGAATCAGGTAGACCTTCAGCCACAAGGGAGTACTACTCCGTAGATTAGATGAATCGTCATGTTTCTCGTGCAGCCTGATCTGTCCTCGCACTGCCTTTTAGTTCTCTCAATTCAACTTGAGCCCATACCCTATACCGGAGACAGTCACTGGATGATCCGCAATTCTGAAGCTCGCATTATTAATACATGATGACTACAAAATTCTGCTAGAGAGTCGAACACTCAACGACAACATCTTCTTCAATTCTGTAGTACACCCAATAAACGTTCTACCCAGCTTTCCCATTTTTCCTTACTATTAGCTGACTCTATACAGTCATATATTAACTTTATTAATTAAGGCGCGAATATGACTAATAGCGGTGGCTTTATTAAAATCCCTACTAATAAAGAACAGAAACGTATAGACAAAGCGGCGCGAATGTCTAGGGAGAAACACGACGCTATAAAAAAGGCATAAGAGGCACGTAAATGTAACGGCTAAGGTTCCCAAGGGATAAACTAGTCGTAGTTTATGTTGGCAGAGCCACTAG